TCAGGTTGTTTATTAAACAACGTAGAATGTAGTTGCAAAAGACTCCTTTGGATGTAGATAGAACCACAGAGAGCGGTGTTAGCACTGAATGCTACCGGCACTGCTAAATGACAAGCAGGAAGAGCCCAGGATAAAACCAGACAGACAGTAACAGTTATTTTTCTCATGATATTTGGATATTGCAGAGGTTTACATGTAGACACATATCTGTCATAGGACATGGCTGCCAACAGTAAAAACTCTGAGCTAGATAAAGAGTAATACAGAAACATCTGAACGTGACAGGATGAATGAGATATCATCTGTTTCTCTGATAAAAAGTCAATCAGAAGCTTTGGGTAGACGTTAGTGCTGAAAATAACAGAGTTAATCAACAAAGCTGCAATGAACATGTACATAGGCTCATGGAGGTTTCTGTGTAAAACAATGATGCACACAATAGTGGAATTACTGCAGATGATCAGAACATAAACTGTTAACATGATCACAAAATACAGATATCTATACCTCTGCACTTCCACATGACCGTCAAGAGTTATATATGTCACATTATATTCACCAGCCATTAATAGTTGGATATAGGATATGGTGTTGGCAGGAAACCCGGCGGAGCACGTGTCGGCGGGACCCCCAACAGGACAGGATCAGGTGTTGGCAGGAAATCCGGTGGAACCCCCAACGAAACAGGACATGGAGTTGGCAGGACCCTCAGCGGAACCCCCAACGACACAGGACATGGAGTTGACAGGACCCCCGACAAAACAGGTGTCGGCTGGACCTCCAACAGCACAGGACATAGGGTTGGCAGGACCCCCGGCAGAAGAGTAGTTGGCGGGGCCTCCAACGGCACAGGACATAGGGTTGGCAGGACCCCCGGCAGAAGAGTAGTCGGCGGGACCCCCAACGGGACAGGACATGGAGTTGGCAGGACCCCCGACGAAACAGGTGTCGGCTGGACCTCCAACGAAACAGGACATAGGGTTGGCAGGACCCCCGGCAGAAGAGTAGTCGGCGGGACCTCCAACGGTACAGGACATAGGGTTGGCAGGACCCCCGTCAGAAGAGTAGTCGGAGGGACCCCCAACGGGACAAGACATGGGGTTGGCAGGACCCCAGACGAAACAGGTGTCGGCTGGACCTCCAACGAAACAGGACATGGAGTTGGCAGGACCCCCAGCGGAACCTCCAACGGACCAGGACATTGGGTTGGTAGGATCTCCGACGAAACAGGTGTCGGCTGGACCACCAACACTAGAGGACAAAGGGTAGGGACTTGAGTAGGGACTTGAGTAGGGACTTGAGTAGGGACTTGAGTAGGAACTCAAGAGGGAACTGGAGAGGGGACTTGAGAGGGGGCTTGAGAGGGAACTCGAGAGGAAACTCGAGAGGAAACTTGAGAGGGGACTCGAGAAGAGACTCGAGAGGGGACTTGAGAAGTGACTTGAAAGGGAACTCGAGAGGGGACTTGAGAGGGAACTCGAGAGGTGACTTGAGAGGGAACTCGAGAGGTGACTTGAGAGGGAACTCGAGAAGGGACTTGAGAGAGGACTGGAGAAGGAACTTGAGAGGGGACTCGAGAGGAGACTCGAGAAGAGACTCGAGAGGGGACTTGAGAAGTGACTCGAGAGGGGACTTGAGAGGGGACTCGAGAAGAGACTCGAGAAGAGACTTGAGAAGGCACTCGAGAGGGGACTCGAGAAGGGACTCGAGAAGGGACTTGAGAGGGGACTCGAGAAGGGACTCGAGAAGGGACTTGAGAGGGGACTCGAGAAGGGACTTGAGAGGGGACTCGAGAAGGGACTCGAGAAGGGACTTGAGAGAGGACTCGAGAAAAGACTCGAGAAGGGACTTGAGAGGGGACTCGAGAAGGGACTCGAGAAGGGACTTGAGAGGGGACTCGAGAAGGGACTTGAGAGGGGACTCGAGAAGGGACTCGAGAAGGGACTTGAGAGATGACTCGAGAAAAGACTCGAGAAGGGACTTGAGAGGGGACTCGAGAAGGGACTCGAGAGAGGACTGGAGAAGGAACTTGAGAGGAGATTCGAGAGGAGACTTGAGAGGGAACTGGAGAGGTGACTTGAGAGGGGACTTGAGTCGGTCGGTACGCCGACAGGACACAGGAAGCTGGCGTCGGCCGGAGATTCAACAGGAGACGAGGTGCTGGAGTCGGCCGGTACGCCGCCAGGACACGGGGATCCATCCAGATAATGGAGCACGGAAACATGGCTGTGTGGGCCAGTACTGGATTACGAGCTGGCTTCCTGACCTTGCGTTTCTTTGAGGTCTTTTGGAGGCTCCGTGGACCTCCAAACGCCAGACGGGATCCCAAAAAAGGGTCAGAAAATGGAGACTGGCTCTCAGGGCTGCGTGAAAAAACTCTGAGCCATTTAGGCAACGAGCTCCTCAACCATGGCATGTTAGACACCTCCATTTGTGCTTTTTTTGTCCCTTCTTGACGAGGTTCCACTCCACTCGGCATAATAACATTGAAGGGAAAAATCTAGATCGAACAGATCTAACTCAAAATCTTCAAGAGACAAGACTACAGGGAGGGGTAATCACGAGACGAGAAACAGCCGGGCAGGGGAGGCAGAAACACAAGGGCAACAGGTGAACACAATCAGACAATCAGACACACCAGGGAAACTAACGACAGGGAGGAAAACACAGGGAGAAGGACCAGACAAGAAACAAGGAGGAAAACATGAAACAGGGAGAAAAGAACAGCAAAATAAAACCCATTACCAGACACACAAAACTAAAACCGTGACATAACACCAAGATCGTGACACTGTGTGGGGTTTGTTCAACTTTTAAAAGATGTTTGAATGGTGATATACACAGTGATGGATGTTAAAGACTAACGTTTATAATAAATACATCTGTATTGATTTTAAGATCTTTTCATACAATCATACGTATTGGGATCATTTGTATTAATGTGGACCGGAGGGAGAGGGGGACGAGCAGAAGTTTCACTTTCCTTTTTTATTTCAATTCCAGCTTTGGTCCTGAAGAATATGTTTCTCTGTTGTCCACGTTCATAAAGCATAAAGCAACAGCATCAGAGCACAGAGTCTCTGGATGAGTTTACACGAGTCCCTCGTTCTTATTGAACATCCATGTTGTAGTCCGCTGTATAGAAAACTGTAGTTTCCATAGTTTCCCCACAGCAGCAGACGCACATTTATGACGTCTCCTATCCACTATCCCTTAACCCCGTGACGTTTCACTCAGAGGTCAAGGAATAGACGAAAGGGTTAGACGCTAGGAGCTGATTTTTGGATTATCCGACCGCAACCTTAGTCTTAGCTAACTTTGCCATGCTGATCACGGGACAGCACGAAGCGCTCCCTCACCTTGCATAATAGAGAGCCGAAGGGGAGAGTTAGTCTGGGGGCTGCCGCTGTGGTGTGTGTGGATGATGAGGTCTAGGTGTGGGTGTGTGAGATGGGGAAGGAGTAGCAGGTGCTGCCTCCGACTCGCCACTCAACACAGCACACAACTCACATTTCCCTGACGCACGTGAACGCACCCCCTATCCCCTGCTAGCTTAGCAAACCCCGGCCAATTCGTCCCCAAGATCAGTAAGGCGAGTACTAACTCCAGCCCTGACTCTATGCTTTTTGCCCCTAAAAGAAATTTCCAGCGCCACCTCCGGGTACTGGAAATGCACACACCTCACCTTTACCCACGATTCTTCTACCAATGCCCCAGGCCGAACCAAGCGCTGATGGATCATCGTCTGATTACAGCCTGTGTTCATCAGAGCCTGGTGTGTACCCCCCTGCATACATACTGGTATACGATACATCCCCTCGGGATCGGGCTGTCCACACCACCAGCAACCCTGCCCTGGCGTCTGAGGAGCTCCCTGTGGTGCCGGACGACCAGACGCATAGACTGGACCCTGAGAAGAGACAGAAAGAAGGGGAGAGTTAGTCGGGGGCTGCTGCTGTGGTGTGTGTGCATGACGAGGAGTGGGTGTGTGAGATGGGGAAGGAGTAGCAGGTGCTGCAGGGAATCTCCTCCTCGGGGCTGGGGTAGGTCGGCCCGCTGGAACGGCAGGTGTCGGGACTCTCCCTTCACACTCCGCCGGGGAAGCGAGAGGTGATCCTACGATGGCTGCCTCAAGTTGGCCGGGCGGTGGCACTGGAACCAATACGCCGTTGACGATGGCAGGCCGGCGCCAAACTTCTCCATCGCCACCTGCTCCACGACGTCCTCAGCGGAGAGCATCCCCGGCTGAAGCCAGCATCTAGCCGCATCCAGGAGCTGCTGCGCATAGGAGAAGGGGCGGCCAGCGTCCTCGAAGGGGAGGGCTCTGAACCGGCGGCGATGTCCCTCTGGTGTACTGCCCAGCCGGTCAAGGATGGCCCCCCTCAGCTGACGGTATTATGCCGAGAAGACGCTGGCAGGCTGTGTGCGGCTAACTGTGCTCCCCCGGATAGCAGGGGCAGCAGCCGCACTGCCCACTCCTCCTCCGGCCACCCGCACGCCGCCGCTGAGCCCCCGAAAATTTCCCGATACGCCTCTGGATCGTCCCCGGCTGTCATCTTTTGTAGGGCAATCAGCGGCGGCCGGAATGGGCTGGTCACTGGATCGACCTCCCGGTTGGCCGGCCGCTGCAGCAGCTCCTGCAGGAGAGCACCGTCCTCGCGCTGGACCGAGGCGAAAGTACTCATTACTCAAAGTGGACATTTTTAGAAAAATATATATTATATCACTGGAGTATAATTAATGATGCATTCATTTTAATTTTGCAGCTGTTAAACGGTGAGAAACATGAATAACTTTTAATACCAGCAGAAAACTCCATCAATAATAGTTTATTAATAATAGGTACCTCCAAAATAAATGAGTAACTAATGTTTTCAAATAAATGTAGTGAGTAAAAAGTACAATATGTGTTGCCAAAATGTAGAGGTATTAAGGAGCATACAATGAAAATACTCAAGTATAGTACATGTACTTAGTTACTTTACACCACTGGTAGCTCGCATGAACTATGTTAAATTGTTGTTTTTGTTTTTTTCTCCGTTGTGTATGGCATGTATCGCAGAGATACACTCGTAACAATGGACGCATGGATACTGAATTATGGAGAGGGAACATTGAGACGTTCTCCGGCCACATTATCTTACAACCATACACCGGACCAGCTGTACCAAAGGCAACTGAGGGTTGTAAAGCAAAGCTAACCCAGCTAGAACTCAAAACTGTTCCACCAACCAGCATGCTCTTGTCCACTCATGGAAAAATAACACAATTGGAAGTAAGACTCAGGCTAACCCAGAACATGTAGATTGGAGATTGTTGTGCCCACATCTTCACAGAGACATGACTCCATTGTGTTCAACTGATCAAATTCTGCACTTGGCGTGTAAAACGCTGAATAATCCCTGAGCTCATTTGGGAAGAGAACTTCAATTTGAATGACCCTTAAACCCTTGAATCAAGTAGCTGAATGATTCTTGGTATTACCCTTGATCCTACCCTTGAGTTACAAAACTTTCAGGATTTATAAACAATTGCCTCTTTTGCCTCAACACATGTCTATAATCTGGTATTTTCAGTCCTTATCAAATGCAGATATCCTTTATTACAAGTGTATTTCAACAAGACTATTGTTGTTATGTTTAGTTTAAAATGTCTCTCCGATGCTCATTTGCTTTCTCAAACGGTGTGTATTCTTGTGAGTAAAAAACCTAACGTATCCACCCATTGCAAACTAATAATTTCCACTTGAGCAGCAACAGAAGAGGATGAACGTTAAACGACATTTTAAGATATCTTTATTTTCTGGCTCCTCGTTTTCATATTATCTACGCACTGACAGCTTTGAGTTTTCCCTGTAGGAGCCCCGTGTCTCTTTTCCTTTCCACCACAGATCATTGTGTATCACGTTTAGTGGCCTGACTGTATTCAGGTTTCATTAATGCTTCCTTTAGGTATCTTTTTTGTTGGACACTATTTGGAAGAACAACATTAAACTTCCATCAGGAGCCTGAAATGATGATACATATGATATGATAATTCAGGTTGTTCTTGCTACCCCAATCATCAGTTCATTCGGTATGCCTTTGTACTCGGGGCTTATTCCTCACTAGACTCTTTTTCATGGACAAGACCATCTGTGGGTTTGACAAACCAAAGAACACTTCAGATCACATCATTCAAAAAACATGATTTTTATTAATTGAAGCATATTAAGTATTCATAACATTGTTCAAACTGAACCTACTGCGTACATGACATGTAGTAAAGAGGTTATACATGAAATACCTCCCACAGATCAGAACATCACATATGTGCATATTATTACAGAGGAAATGCACATTAGCATCACTTACATCACAAGTACTGCAACATATGTCAGTTCAACTTTGCTCGACAGAACAACTTCTTCAGGTGCTTAAAGATTTCTTTCACTTTCAGTCCATATATAACTGGATTAAAGAGGGGGTAATACAAGAATGCCTGTAAAGTCATGATGGAATGTAAATCAGATCCAAGTTGGCCTATTACAACATCATATGAACACAAACAGGAGAAGCAGAATAAAACCACGAGGTGGGGTAAACAGGTCTGTGCAGCTTTTCTCCGGACATTTCTACCGCTCCGATAGGAGATGATCAGTATTCTGGTGTATGTGAAAAGTATGAAGAGCAAAGGCAAAAGGGCCATGCTGAAGAGAACATACAGATCGTATAAAGTTATTACTTTTGAACTAATACAAAAGAGATTGTAAATTGAATGGTTGCATATAAATGATTTTAAAGTAAAATGACAGAATTTGGTATTAACAATCAGAATGACTGAGACTGCAATCTCACACGCAGGCACAAGCCAAGCCAAACAGAGAATGACACTCACTGTAGTTGTTGTCATTATAGCATGATATTGCAGAGGCTTACATATAGACACATATCTGTCATAGGCCATGGCTGACAACAGGAAGAAATCTGAAGCACACAAGAAGTAATACAAGAAGAATTGAATGAGACAGGCTGAATATGATATGACCGGTTTCTCAGACACAAAGTTACCTAACAACTTTGGGTACATAGCAGTGTTGTAAACAATGGAGTTCAGCAGCAACGCTGCGATAAAAAAGTACATAGGCTCATGGAGGTTCTTGTGCTTCCATATAAGGCACATAATGGATGAACTAAAGAACATTGTTAGGATATATACAGCAAACATAAGAGAAAAATACAAAAACCTGAATGTGCCCATTCCGACATACCCACTAAGAGCAATGTATGTTACATTTAAGTCATCATCCATGAAGAATCCAAAGGTAAACATTCATACATGAGACAGGCAGGTTTTATAACAGGCACACATTATTAAAATAGAAAGAGATGTCTTACCATGAAGTCTTAATAACATATTGCATGTTTGATTCATTCACAGATACCAGACCTTAAACTGCACCTCATGTGTGTTCATGCAGAGATGAGAACTGTTTCCCTCAGACTAAGTATTTTATCACATTTCCTCACCCTCCATGGATCTCATTAACTCTTCAAAGTTAGCATGTGAACAACTTCATCAAACTCTGGAGGCCTGAGCCCAAAGGTGCCACACTTTGTTTACATGGGTGTGAGTTCACTTCTTTGCATTGAGAACGATTGCAGGGTTGGTGCGAGGCCCTAATCATTGACCTCATGTGCACTTACTAAATAATACACTCTATGTCAAGTTTTGCTTCGGGTTAAACTTTACAATTTCATTAAAATGCAGTTTGGAGTCCTAAAGGCAACGATAAACAACACAACGTTTTGTTGTTGATGATACAGCGAACTCTGGAGGCCTGAACCCAAAGATAATGTTCCCTTTACTTACAAAAATACAATATTTAATGTATCCTCAGTCATTCCAAGAGTCTAGTTACAGTGGTTCAATAAATGCTCAGCTCGGGGTTTTCCGGGGGTGTAGTGCCATTTTTACAAGTACCGGAGCGCACCTATGACGCATGCATGCACGCGCACGGTTGTCGCATGATCACCAAAACAGAAAGATATGGACTTAGGTTCCTATGCAAAAGTATGCAAAAGTTTTTTCTATCCAATCCATGTGAACATCTTTTTAGGGGGGGACGACGACTTCATATATTCTAGGGGGGTCTGTGGGGGGCGGAGTTTATATATTGAAGTTAAATGGTTCGATCTGGTGCACTTTGAGGGCTAAATTAAGACACTATATCTATTGGTACGTCTCTCTACACACATATGAAACAGAACTGTAAAGAGATTTTCTTTTTCTTAATGGATATTTTACAAATCACTACCTTTTTAAACGGTATACTTGGTTTACTGTCCTATAGTATTTTATCCCTGTTTTTAATTGATTCTCTTATTTTTGTATAACTATAGTGATCATATAAAGGTGTAAATACTTGTTTACATAAATGATAACCAAACAGTTTGAGACTGAGATAAGTTAGACTAAAGTTAACTATCTAAACACTCAGAGAGTCCTTTACCTCACTGAGCTGAGGTTATCTGACAGGAGAGCGCTCTTCTTTATATCCGTTAGCATAGCTAGCTAACCAGATGCTAACAACAACAATCCCCAGTACCGGTGCGCTCTCTCTCTCTCGCTCGCTCGTGCACACACACAGAGCTTGAATGACACGAAGAGACCCATAAGCAGGGGTTAAGTTGGGATTTGATATGTGGGGGGGGCTCTGTGGGAGATGTGACATTATCTGTATCAAATGCACACATTGATGCCACCGAATGACACTATAAAAAAAGAAAGTACTACAAATAAACTGGAATTAATTTACATCTCAAATTATTAATATATACACAATATATCATCACCAACTTCTGTGTTATTATGACCGATCATAACTCAGTTTTATGCAGACATATACATTTTGCATGGTTTAAGAAACGGCTCCGTGTTACAAGGTGGGTCGGGGGTTTGGCGGCACCGCTGCAGACTCTCTGCACGCACGCACGCACGCACGCACGCACGCACGCACGCACGCACGCACGCACGCACGCACGCACGCACGCACGCACGCACGCACGCACGCACGCACGCCGCACGCACGCACGCACGCACACACACACACCACACACACACACACACCACACACACACCACACACACGCACACCTCCTGATCGGAGCTCGTTCTGGAATAGCCTCCCAACTGAGATACGGGATTGTCCCACTCTCAATAGTTTTAAAGGTCAACTCAAAGAATGGTTGAGAAACAAACAGGTGTGCAATCACCGCTAAATGCACTTTAACACAGGGGCATCTCCTCTTGCACTTTATATGTCGTAGCTGCTACATTGTGCTGCCATGTGGTAAATGCTTGTATGCTGCTCTTGCTCTTTCTGCATATCATGTATTTATTTTTGCTATGTTTATAAATGTCATGTTCTTAAATGTTGTATGTGACGGACTACGGATGGAAATGAGCTCAAAGCTAAAATCCGGCATATTTACATTTGAAGCATTATTTGTTTAAAGTGTTCATCAATGTGCATTGTCCCTGTTCAAATAAACAATTAAATGAAAATGAAATGGAGCAGACACATGCTCACTAAGCCAAAAATATTTCTCTTGTCACAGAGATCTGCTATTTTAAAGTAAAGTCAACACATATCGACCTTAAATATAGTCTATATTAAGAACGAGAAAAGTTTTAACATATCTCTTTTTGTAAGCATAGAACAAATGAGCGAGGGTGATGACGTCAGAGCATCGTCCTCCGGCACAATTTAACCCCTGCCCATAAGTACTTGTACTTCACTGTATCATATTATTTTCGATGCCTTAATTGTATGGTCATATGACAGATGATCAGATCGCCACTGGGCTTCAACTAAAGACACAGCCATGCAAAAACTGCGGCATGTGTACAGCTCCTTATGGAAAGCGTAATTTTAAAGTGCCGGAGTGGCGTTCCGGCGCGCTCCGGCAGCACTACACACCTGGTGTTTGCACAGATAGAATATGTTCCTGTTGATTTATTTTTCCCCCAAGCCTTTGACAAGAACCAACATGAACCTACAGGAACCAACAGGAGCCTACATGAGCCTACAGGAACCAACAGGAGCCTACAGGAACCTACAGGAACCATCAGGAACCAACAGGAGCCTAAAATAACCAACAGGAGCCTACAGGAACCTACAGGAACCATCAGGAACCTACAGGAACCATCAGGAACCAACAGGAGCCTAAAATAACCAACAGGAGCCTACAGGAACCTACAGGAACCATCAGGAACCTACAGGGACCATCAGGAACCAACAGGAGCCTAAAAGAACAAACAGGAGCCTACAGGAACCAACAGGAACCAACAGGAACCGACAAGAGCCTACGTGGAACCAACAGGAACCTACAGGAACCAACAGGAGCCTACAGGAACCAACAGGAACCTACAGGAACCAACAGGAACCTACATGAACCAACAGGAGCCTACAGGAACCAACAGGAACCATCATGAACCTACAGGAACCATCAGGAACCAACAGGAACCTACAGGAACCAACAGGAACCATCAGGAACCCACAGGAACCAACAGGAACCTACAGGAACCCACAGGAGCCTACAGGAACCAACAGGAACCAACAGGAGCCTACAGGAACCAACAGGAACCACCAGGAACCTACAGGAACCAACAGGAACCTACAGGAACCCACAGGAGCCTACAGGAACCAGCAGGAACCAACAGGAACCATCAGGAACCAACAGGAACCATCAGGAACCAACAGGAACCATCAGGAACGAACAGGAGCCTACAGGAACCAACAGGAGCCTACATGAACCTACAGGAACCTACAGGAACCATCAGGAACCAACAGGAACCAACAGGAGCCTACAGGAACCAACAGGAACCAACAGGAGCCTACAGGAACCAACAGGAGCCTACAGAAACCAACAGGAGCCTACAGGAACCTACAGGAACCATCAGGAACCAACAGGAGCCTACAGGAACCTACAGGAACCAACAGGAGCCTACATGAGCCTACAGGAACCAACAGGAGCCTACAGGAACCTACAGGAACCATCAGGAACCTACAGGGACCATCAGGAACAAACAGGAGCCTAAAAGAACCAACGGGAGCCTACAGGAACCAACAGGAACCTATAGGTACCAACAGGAACCGACAACAGCCTCCGTGGAACCAACAGGAACCTACAGGAACCAACAGGAGCCTACAGGAACCAACATGAACCCACAGGAACCAACAGGAACCTACAGGAGCCTACAGGAACCAACAGGAGCCTACAAGAACCAACAGGAATCATCAGGAACCTACAGGAACCAACAGGAACCTACAGGAGCCTACAGGAACCAACAGGAACCTACAGAAACCCACATGAGTCTACAGGAACTAACAGGAACCATCAGGAACCGACAGGAACCTACAGGAAACATCAGGAACCAACAGGAACCATCAGGAACCAACAGGAGCCATCAGGAACCATCAGGAACCAACAGGAGCCTACAGGAACCAACAGGAACCAACAGGAGCCTATAGGTGCCTACAGGAGCCTACTAGTGATGTGACGTTCTCAAACAATCCGATTATTTTGAACGGCTCTTTGGTACGAACGAAGGGAACCGAGTCGTACTTGGTGAGAGCCTTTTTATCGTTGGTTCACTGCCTGCTATAAATCCACTCGCCTTTAAAGGAACTTGCTTTCCTGAATGCCAATTTGCCATATAGATGATGGCATAACGCATTATGCTGGAGTATAGTTTGGCTGCCTGAGAGATGTAGCAAGTTACTACTACGCCGGTGGCGGAAGCAAAATACGGCAAGAACGGAAGTGGGTTGGTCTGGGCACCAACGAACAAGAGGCCGCTAGCTAGAAGCATCTGCCCCTTTATAGGGTGCCCCCTGGCGGTGATAGGCTTAGAAGAATATGCCTTACAACAGCATTTACTACTCATCCTGCTACAATCTACCCCCCCCATCGTCACCCCAACAATGTACAAATCAAGCCCAAGGTTAGCTAACCTAGGCCCAAGGTCTAAAGATGACAGACACTGAGTTAGACACCGGACCAGGAGAGTTTTCAGCCACAGGCGCCAATTCTCCCAAAGCTCTCGGGTGATGATGGACATTAGGATGCTGCCCAGCGGTTGACCGTGCTGTCCGTCGCAATGTCACTGCGCTAGAATCAGGGCAAATTGCTAGAGGGATAGCCAAGCAGGAGGAAGGCAATTCTGGCATGGCAGCGAGAGCTATCGAAGGACCGGCCTCAATGGAGGCTTCGTCAGATGGTGGAAGCAGCAACCAAGGGGTTTCTTGGGTCACCACAGCTGATCTGGTAGAAGGAGGATTCGGAGCTTCATTTCTTGAAACCCACAGGTCACCATCAAAGGAAAGCTCATCATGACTGTGGTGAGTCAGGAGGAATTGAGAGAGGGACAGGGACATCATCTGGAGAGTGTGTGCCAACCATAGCTTTCAACAGAGTGTGGTGGACCTGTTTGGTTTTGGTCAGGTCGTTTGCAGATGCAATCGTGTACACCGAACCCCCTTTTGGTGCTTTCACCACTATGTATCTGAAATAACTCAAAATATCCCTGATCTTATGGCGTCCTCTTCCACCACAATTTCGCAACCAAACTAACTGGCCCTCGTTCAATGGGACATCTTTGACATACTGGTCATGGCACCTCTTTCTGCGCTCTGCTGCAGTTTTTAACCTCTCTTGAGCTCCTTCAAAGGCAATTTGAAAATGTGTCTGATGCTCCTGAATCCACTCATGGACAGGACCACCGACTGGATCAGGGACTCTTCCCAACAGAAAATCAACTGGGAGCCTTGGCTCTTGTCCAAACATCAACAAGAATGGAGATTCACCAGTTGACTGATGGGGAGTAGTGTTGTAAGAATACAGTAGTTGTGGCAAGCAGGAGTTCCAATCCCGTTTCCGAGACACAGGCAGAGTACGCAGCAAGTTGTGAAGGGTTCGGTTGAACCATTCACATTGACCATTGCCCGCCGGACGGTAGGGAGTAGTGCGAGATTTTTCGATGTTATAGAGGCTGCAAAGTTGTTGGATAAGAATGCTCTC